ACATGTATGTTAGTACATTCATTTCAAAGCTAAGTCAACAATTTTCAATAGTCCAGCAATAATCATTACATTTGTAGAATATGCCTCTTCTATTTGAATGGTGTTTTTGCTATGATCTGATACTGTTAATTTAATAACATGTTGTTTATTCAAAGTGACAATTAAGTTTTTTTCCAAGATGTATTTTTATAATTATTTTTTAAATATATTTTATTGATTTTTTACAGAGAGGAAGGGAGAGGGATAGAGAGTTAGAAACATCGATCAGCTGCCTCCTGCACACTTCCTACTGGGGATGTGCCTGCAACCAAGGTACCTGCTCTTGACCAGAATTGAACCTGGGACCCTTGAGTCCACAGGCTGACGCTCTATCCACTGAGCCAAACCGGTTAGGGCTATTTTTATAATTATTTGATGTTCAAATATGTCCTAAGGACGCAGATCAATAACAAATGGAAAAAATAGCTAGTTCATGAACAATAATAACAAAACAGAAGGTCTTAAATAGAGATGAAATGTTTGTATTTAATGTATAATAGGGGTCAATGGCCAAAGAAACATTTTTATAGTGAAGAATGAAGAGATATTCAGGATTCTTTAGCTGCTTTTTCTTAATAATGGCCATAAAACTGCTCCATGGAGCCAGCTGTTGAAAAATATACTTGGACTATACAAACTATTTTCAGTAAGGTCAGTTGATATTTCCAAAGATATATGAGTAGTCAGTAAATATTACATGATGATCTTATGAATCACATTGATGTGCTATCCCATAAACAAATCCCAACTACCACTGCTATTTATTCATCTTAGTTAACTTTTTACAAGACAGCTGGCAGTCTATGTTCTTATACATAAATAATATTTAATCTAAAAATTTGCTATTGCTCCTTTAATTCCAGGCCTAAGAAAGTAAAGTGGTATGTATTAGTGTAACTGATTAAGTATCATATACTTGAAATTTATAGTATTAAACCTCCATATGTGATATGAATATGAATACTGGTCTATGGACCAATGAAATAATTTTCTTCTCTATCAAATATTTTTTATCTAGCAGAAATATCTAAATTCAAATTGAGTGTTCTTTAAGAAACTACAGCTTTCACTTGATATTTCATATGAAGGACCAGAAATATCTGAATTTAGACCATCATTAATGCTCCTTTTGAAGGGCATAAAAAGAAAAATGTTACAATTTAATCAAGCATTACTAAAAAGAAGTAGAAAGCCTTTCCACAAGTTCTATATCACAATGGTAAAAATATAATTAAAAGATTTAATGTAGAATGTGAATTTCTACCTCACCAAAAAAAAAAATAGATATGTTATATAAAGACAGCATCAACTTTGGAGCTAACTACTTTTAAGGTATCTCTAACTTTCAAGTACATACAAAGCAAGAATTAAGAGTTACTAACATAAATTTGAAAATATTTCTGAAGTGATAAAATGGCCAGTAAATATAATTTTAAAGTGTACTTTACTGACTTCATTTCTGAAATATGTGAATTCTAAACGTATCTAATATATGTTATAAAAATATCTTCTAAACTAAGCCATATTGTTTTTCCCCCCTTCATACCATCACCATTTTAGTACATATTTTCTTATCTCCAAGTGGTTTACCACTTTCAAATAATGTCAAGTTATTGTTCTACTTTTTAAGTTGCCATAAGGCTATTCACTTGAGGTCTACCATCTATCTACTTCTATTAATTTAAGTCAATGCAAGGTAATAGTTTACTGTATCTTGAGATTCTTTTAAGATTCCTTTTCTGAGAAAATCTCCTAAGCCATTAGTTGCATTTGTGTTACCAACTGCTAGCATAAAAAAAAATAGTCTGATTCTTTAAAATAAAGATTATTCATTTATGTAAATTATGTTCCCTTGTTGATGCATATTGATGATCTCAAACTGGGTCTCAAGAGATGGATTTCTTGGAAACGTACACTTTTGGAGCTGGAAAGGACATTAGAGATCGTCTGTAACCCCTTCGCTTTATGGTTGAGGACACGGAGCCCAGAAAAGATAGCTGAGTGACTCTGGGCAAGGTTCCTGAGTGGCAGAGCCAGAACCAGAAGCCAGGTCTCCTGACATCCTGTTAGGAGCCAGGTCTCCTGACGTCCTGTTAGGAGCCAGGTCTCTTGATTTTTATTCCAAGGATCTTTCCATTACACATACTGACTCTCTATTCTTTGAGGCTGTCTTGGGCTGCTCACACTGATCAAGCTGCTTTGTAAATGATCACATTCACCAAATAAAATGGCTTTGATGACAGGTCATGGGACCTTGGACCATACCTGTATAATCAGCCTATAATCTAATGAATCACCATCTCCCTCTATCTGGAACCTCAATGGCTCCTCACTGATCATACAATAAATTATAATGTTTTTTAACATAATCTAGCACCTACATGTGTCATGAACTCGCCTTCTCTTGATCTGCACTGTTCACCCTAGTCTTGATTCAGTTTTTCCAATGTACCAAACTCCTTTCTACCTCAGTACAAACCATTCCCTCTAACCAGGCTCTTCTCACATACTTTGTCTATTAATCATTCTTTGGTCCTCAGTTTAAACATTAGACTCCCTAAAGAAGATTTCCCTAAGTCCTGCAATCCTTTGCCCCTCTCCCACCTCTTATTACAACCTGTATCTTTCAGTGTTTATAATAAGCCCAATTAATGAATTATTTAATTACTTACTTAACGTTTCCTTTTCAATCTGCTGCAACATTTCTAAGAACAGGCACTCTGTTTATTTTTAATCACCACTCCTCCCTCCAGTACTTAGCAGACTGCATCTGGACCACAAGTATCACAACAGCACGTATTTACTATAGCTAGCTGATTACTATGCACCAGACTTTGTTCTAAATGTGATCATCTCATTCAAATTGCCAACAATCTTATGAGGTCGATACTAGTATTATACTTAAGTTACAGATGACAAAACAGAGGCATGCTTCATTTAGACACTTGCCCGGCATCACAGAGCTAGCAGGTGGTAGAACCGAGATTTGAATTCAAGCTTTCTGACTCCAGTGTTGATATTTTCTAAACTAATACTATATGCTGCTGCACACTCAAGTATTTGTTCAATAAATAAATGTATCCACAAAATTAACAGTATCACTAAACTATATAATTGGAATAACAACAACACAGAGTATTTACAATATGTCAGGCACTTTCTAAATAGCATACCTATTTTCGTCATGTAATCCCATTGCAACCTTACAAAGTAGGCACGACTATTATTCCCACATTACACATGAGGGCACTGAGGCACAGAGAGGGGAAGTTTTTCTGTCCCAATATCATCTTGGTAGTAAGTGGCAGTTCTGCGGTTCAAGCACAGGCAGTCCCTAATCAAGCCTATTCTCTTACCCTCCATTCTGTACTGCCGTATTGGTGAAAGCCCATATCTGAAGAGAGCAGGTGGATTTCCTCTCTTTATGTTTGTCCTTCCAAGGTTCACTCATGATTGTTACACTAGTCATTTATTATTAACTTTGAGCTGTCTTCAGAGATGGAGATAAAAGTTCCTCCTTTGCATGGATGAATTACAAAAGGGGGTAGGTAGCCTCTTCCTTCTAGTGGACACAGCTCCATAGCATGGTGAAGGGTCTTCTCAGAAAGCCTTCTGCATCTCTGTCCTGGCCCTTTGGTCGGGTGTCCTTGTGAAAGTACGACATGCATATGCATATGCAGTAGCTCTGGTTACACTACAGAGAATTGTCAAACTAGTGTATGCACAGTGAGAAAAAGAAAAAAAGCCATGAAAAATCCTGAGCCATGGTACATGAAAGGAAAATCTGGCTAAAATGTGCTAAAACCTTTCCAAACTTCACTAAGATTTCAGGGGGACAGGGTGCTTCTCACTAAGCTCTTTAGTTTCTCTTTAAGTAATAAAATAATGTTGGTGGAATCCCTTCTGCAGATGATAAAGTATCATACAAATAATATGTTTACTCGATATTAAACTCTTATATCTTACGTTTATAAGGGTCCTTCCCTCGGGTCATAAATCAATTTTGTTCTCTGTGAAAAACGATTGGAAAAAAAGGGTGTTTCTCTATATCAGTGGTTCTCAACCTTCCTAATGCCGCGACCCTTTAATACAGTTCCTCATGTTGTGGTGACCCCCAATTTCATTGTTACAAATTGAACATAATTAAAGCATAGTGATTAATCACAAAACAATATGTAATTATATATGTGTTTTCCGATGGTCTTAGGCAACCCCTGTGAAAGGGTCGTTCGACCCCCAAAGGGGTCGCGACCCACAGGTTGAGAACCGCTGTTCTATATACTGACCCTTTAAATGTACATGGTTAAAAAATGCACATGGTTGAAATTTTATCCTATGACTATGCCAGCACAATAAGAATTTAAAAAGAGACAGCCTTAGCATGAGGTAGCCTTTTTCTCAGACATAGTACTTTTGGAAGAGTAGCTAAAAACAGAAGTGAAAAGAACAGAAAAATTTTAGCTCAAGGTTAGATGACTCTAGTCAGCTCATTTGGACAAAGGATAGATGTGTTCATTCTAGAGTTTGGGTATTCAGCAGTTTTAGAAGGTGTGCTATAAATGTAGGGCAAAGCAATCTAGCTTTAGAAGTCAGATTTCACAGACTATGGCCTGGGTGCAATGTCCAAAGAATAGGTCAGGTTGGTCCGTTGCATAAAAGAAAAGTGAAAAGTAAATCAGATCGGCATATAGATGAAATAAGCAATTTGACCACATATTTCCACATTTCGAGGCATGATATTGGAAGTACTAAGCACCGTTAATGGGAGAGACATTGGGAAATTCATTTAAATTTTCCACATGCTTCAGGTTTCCCAGATGCAAAACCCAAATAATGAAATCTTTCTTTCCAAGGTTCTGTCACATGCTTAGGTGAAGGACACTATATGGGGGGGGGGGGGGAGAGACACAAAAAAACAACCCTGTTATCTTTGCTCACAAAATGATATCTTATAACCTTACCTAATAGATTGGTTAACCACAAGGCCAAATCTTCTTTCATCGGTAGCAAATTAGCTTCATGTCTGCTGGCCAGCCACTGGCTATACTGATGCATATCAGAGAGGCCAGGTCCACTGCGTACCTTTGGGCTCAGAGCAGTGCACATTATTTATCCACTTGTAATACCTGTTTGGGAAACAAAAGAGCAATTGCTTTTTATACAGACTTCTCTTGTTAACATCTTGCTGCCAATGACAAAGTAAGGAACCAGATCCATAGAGATTTTCATGAAAGGTCGGGTTATTAATTATTAACCCCCAGGAAACAGTATTTGCTTTATATTTTCTGGTCCTATCACTGCTGAGAGCCAGTTGGTAGAAAATAGCAGCAATCAAAGGTCAAAGAGAAATATCAAACAGCTAGCACTAAGCTTGTGTCAAACATCATATTTAGAGCCCATTTCTAAGACAAGAAATTCCAATCAAAGTTGTTGATTAAAATTTCAGCATCCAAATTGTAAATCCCCATTGTTTGGCTTAATTTTTTAAACCATAGTTTTCTACAGAACTTTAGGAATGAGTGCTAGCAGTGACAATGTTTGCACAATTTATTGTAAACATATGGTCACTACCCTTAAAACTATTACCTATGGGATTAAGCATAGTACTTGGTTCTTTGCAGATGCCTGAGCAATCATGGATTTACAGTTCAGAGAACTGGGGGGGAAACAGGGGAAGAGGTGTTTTTAAAGAGTCCCTACTATACTTTTCTCATTTCACAGTTAATGAAAATAAAAACCAGATAGGATCAGTGACTTAACCAAGATCATACAGCTAGATTATGGCACAGTCAGCCTTAAACCTGGGTCTTCATATTCTTTCCAGAACGACACATTTTACAAAATATAACCATAATATAACCCAGTATTCTAACAAATACTGCCATAAGTTTTTCTTTTGTCTTACTTTGTGTCTTTTCACTTTATGTGTTTTGCATCCTAGGTTTTGTTTGCAACCATCTTTTGAGTAGAAGTGATTAAGTATCTTAAATCTACAAAATAAAAGTTGATTTCATTAACCTGGTCACCTCATGGGTATCACAGTCTCCTAGGTGGGTTGTAGAAAATTTGTTTGAATATATACTTGGCCTTGAAGGTAGCACTTACGTATGCATTACTTATAGGACCTAAGACTATAGAAGTAACATTGAAGCAGCTAAGGTAAGAAGCTCATAAATTTAACAATGTGTAGGTCTCTATTATGCACACAAATAGTGCATATGAAGTAACTAAATGCATAACTGAACAAAAAATGAAAATACATTGGCAAGAGGTAAGATTTATGATATAATGGAGTTTTCAGCTATATTTCAATAATTATAGTATTTTAAAGTTACCAATACAAATGTACATATACTCTTGTCAGTTTTATTCTTTGAAATGTTATATAGTATTCCCTTCTAGTTAATCTCAAAGTCAAATTCTCTTAGCATAGGATAATTGTTGTCTTTTAAAGACTGCTCTCGAAAACATTAGATATCGGTGTTTAGAAAAATGTCAAATGTGAACATCTCCCAAACATTTTGCTGTAGTATTAGAAAAGACAGCTGGAGCATAAACACCTAAAAGGTGTCGTAAATATGTAATTGAAAAGCACAAACAAATGCATTTCTAAACAATTATGCCTTTGAGTAATTTTTGCAAAAAGAAAGGACCATAATTTTTCTTTGAAAACATGTTTTTATAAATCTCTCCATATCTAGTTAGCCATAGTAAACCAGTGCAAATGTGAAACATATGTTACTAAATTATCATTATAGAAACCAGAACATTATCATTGCCTATTCTTTTGTGGTTAATCATCACATTATTCACACAAAATCCTAAAATTTTCTCCAAATCCTGTCATTATATATCAGAAACCCAAAACATTTTTGCCCCAGCTCTTTGAAAAAATAGGTCTAGTCCCAGGAAAACAAAACCTCTCCCTGTAGCTGGTTAGGATTCCTATAGGCTAGCTGGCCTCAGAAACAAACATTTAAGTAATATTACATTTAAGCACATGATTCATATATTTAAATAACTAATTGAAATCTTAAAAGGGTTACCTCTAAAATGCCTTTCTTCTCAAGACACAATCTCTCCCACTACTTTCCTGAAAGTGAGATGTGGTAGGTCAGTAACTTTAGCTACATCCTATTATGTGCTCTGCAACTTCCATTTAAACATCAGAGTCCTATTCTGCTCAGTAAAAGCAAGAAGACACCTCGGATTCTTAAGCTCATTGTCCAACAAAGAATTCATCAAGGGATAGTTTACAGTAAGCCTAATGGCATGTAACAGTTTCAATGAGTCAGAGGGACACAATCCTTCCCCTCAATACTTCTAAACAGTGAAGTTTTTATTTTCTTGACAGTGGCACATTTATTTCTCATGGAGTCTGCCCTGTATTTTGCCAGACGTGTAATTCAAACTATCTCCTAATATTTATAGATGATCATGAAGTAAAAACAGTGGGAGTAATTAAGCAATTTTTGTTACGCTGCTTTGTATATGATCAAAATTCTATGCAAACCATTAAAAAAGTTTTATTTTACCAGGAGGTTAAAATGAGATAAAGAAGGCTTAGTGGGTCATCAACATGCAATAGAAGATAAGCAAGTAAACACATGCCAAATAGGTTGGCACTTAAAAGTCGCTGTCATGGATAGGAACTGTGTTTAAGTCCCTTTTGAAAAAAAAATGAGGATTTCAATCCAAATTGAAGCTTTTTTTTCATAATTTAAATCACCATCTGTGGTTCAGCTGAAAGTCAGCCACTACATGGAGGTCTTGGATTTAGATATGGCCGAGACATGAATAAGAAACATGGGAATGAACCCAGCTCGCAGGAGTGTGGAAGAATTATTCCATGGTGAATAGTTTCCCATTGAAATGATTAAAATGGGGTGAACAAAAGTCAAACAAATTTATATTACCGACATAAAAAGATCACTACAGGTTGTAGCCTTTTTATAATTTATAATTTTTAACAAATGTTTAATCAGTGTGGATGAGTTGAATTAAATCACAAAGAACAAACCAAAACAAAAAGATCATTTCTGATCTTTTGAAGGCATTCAAAAGTTTTCAAAAACCACAAGCGATGCCAAGGGGTAGCTTTTAAAGATGGGAAGTGAAATGATTAATGATTCACTAGACTTGAAGAACAAAGTTAAAGTTTGGGAGACCAAAAAACACTTTTTTTTGGTATACTATATCAAAACACTGAAAGATGTTACCATTAAAATTCATATGATGTAAATATGTAAAAAGCTTGATAAGTGATTTCAGTAAGAACTAAACAAAGGCAATAGCTTTGGAAAGTGGAGTGAGGACTCAAATGCTGCCTTGAGTCCTCTACACTATGGCTTCTCCAAGGTTTATGGGTCTATCTAAAAATGGACAACTCAACCCTCAGGATTTGGAATTCAGAAAAATAAATTTTAAAGCAAAAAACATGCAGAAACTTAATACAGAATTCTTCAAAGAATGTGTATTTTTTTTCTTTCTTTCCATAGAAGTGGTTCTGGAATAACCATTATGAGTATGATGAGACGTGAACTAGCCCAGGGGAAGAAGAAAGAATGAATGACTCCGTAAGTAAAATATCATATGTTTAAAGACTCTGTTTAGTCTGTGGCTCCAGAATCCTAGTTGAAGACCTCATAGTTTTAACTCCGAAGATAAAGTCCTTTCACACCACCTAGAGTTGTGCTTTAATTATGACCAACATGGTTTCTGGTCTATCTCTAGACCTTGTTGACATGTTATAAAAAAATGCATTGCAATATTGCATAGAAAACAGATTGGAAAGAAAAAAATAAGAATAAGATAAACATATCATTATTGTCTGCTATGAGATTCCACTAAAAAGCCTAGTTAATGAATAATAATTGGAATTTCAGAATTGGAATCAGAAGTCCTGGGGTCAAATACTAACTCTATTAACTATCCACTTAATAGCTATTCTATTCTAGTTTTGAGACTTTTTGTTTTTGTACCTGAGTTCTTCAGTATGTACAATGGAGGCTAACATCTCAAATATAATCTTTATGATTAAATATTTATGTCAGTGTTGGCATATATTTCATATTCAATTAATACTAGCTAAATCTAGTATGCCAGCATGAAACTCCCATTAGCTTATTTTAAAAAGAAAAGCAATTCTGTAACAAAGTAGGAATGTTTTGTAGGCCTTTAAATCACTAAGAGAAGACAAAGGGTAATGAAGAGAAATGAAAACAAAGTACTGATGAAATAAAATCATAAATATTGGAAAATTTAAAAATGAATGAAATGTTGAGCTCTAAAATGAGTTTACATGTATTTTTAAAAACAAATTTTGTTAACAAATTATACTCAATTTTTAACACCAGTTAAAGATAAGTTATTAAGATAGGAGAATGCTAGACCTCCCAAAATAAATGTGAGAGGATGTCACTACACACCTTCCCTACCCTGCACATACTCCTTAACTGTGGCCACTTAAAACAAAGAATGCTAATGAATTCACAGTGAAGGGTCTCCACCCTAAAGGCCACCTTGTTCTCATCTGCAGCACTGACCTCACTTCTATCTAGTCCATTTTGTGTGTTTGGGGTGTGAAACAATAAAGAAACAACATTCATAGGCCAGTAACACTACCTTTTAAAGTTTAAAACAAACAAACAAACAATACCCCAGGCCAAACACCCTCCCAAAATCTGGAAGGAGAAAATGGTATCTTTCAAGCTAGACTCAAAGAATTGACAACCAAGGATGGCTCTTTCACCATTCTGAGTTCTTCATTCCTATGTGATTCATTTTAGCTCACCAATAATCTCTCTACAATGCTACATATTCTCGACCAATGTCATGAAAGCAAAGCTTAACCTAAGGGTCTAATCAGAAAATGAAAGCTCAAAATTTAATCAAAAAAGTAGTTCTAGATCTTGTAAATAAGTGGACCTCCACTTCTAGCTAAGGGGAACAACTTGTCCACAGATGAAAGAAGCACCAAGCATAAAGTCAAAACAACACTCAGTAGTTTTCCTAATTATGTCATAACATCTTTAAATTTTAAATGGACATTAGAAGATTTACATTTTGTCAAATTCCTGATTCTTAATAAATGATTGTAGTCCTAAAATATTTTTCCCAATGTAACAAGGCTATGTAGCCACAGAGTCATTACAAGTATCCTATCCTTCTGGTGCCCAATCTCAAGTAATGCTAACTCTCCTCAGAGAATTTTTCGTATCTAACTTTCTTCCGAGAATCTTTCAAATCACCCATGGTGATTTGTCTTGAATCAACTAATGATATGCCTGTGATAATAATTCTTAAATCATGACCAAAATATTAAGACCTTGTGGGAACTGATTTCTATGGCATTAGCAATTTTTTTCTTTTTCTTTTTCTTTTTTAATTCTACTAGACCACTTTTCCAAACAATTTAGTACAAGTTTCTGGACCCCTACCAGATTAACTTGGAACATAATTTGAATAGAAAACCACCTGAAATTCATAAGTCAATTAGAATATTTAAAGACTTCCAGCAAAATTTCATCCAAGTTGATTAGGCAAACCTCACTTCATGAGATTTTGTTTTTTATATGCTGTTTGTAATGCAAAGATTTCTGTTTTTCTTAACTATAATGTTATTGAGAGCTACCAGTTTTCCTCTCTCTCTCTCTCTCTCTCTCTCTCTCTCTCTCTCTCTCTCTCATATAAGGGGAGAGCATTAGCAAAAGCTCTATTGAATTGATCCTGAAAATGTTTAAGACAAAAATTACATGCATCTTACTCATTTTGACAAGAGATATGTTTTACCTTCCCCCCAGGTATTTCCTCTAATCAGAAAACATTGAGTAGAAAACCTTGGTAGTTGCTCAGGAGAAATGCAAAGAAACAGTGGGATCCTATTTGTGCCTCCATATCTAAACCACAAAGATACCAAAATAGCCTTAACATCAGCTGCAATCTCAACAAACTCCCTCTGCACACGAATTGCTAGAGCCTCCTTATCTGGTTTCAGCCGAGGTAACTTTGGCCTTCCAAAGGCTCCAGAAGTCTATGAATGCAGACTCCACAGCCTTGAAACAGAATTTTAAAATCTTGCCTCCCATCCTTAGGATTAATATAAGAAAGACCTGACATTTCACCCCTGCAAGTTTAAGTTTTAACTAAGATTCCTGAGCAAGAGACTAGGAAACTCAGTGGCAACCACCTGACCTTTTGCACCAGGTGAAATAAGTTTTGCCAAGTGAATTTGTTTCCCAATAAAGCATAGACCACCTCACAAAAGTATGGTGTTGAGCCGCAAAGTAAAGAAAGAAGCTCGAAGTGTAGTAGCATACAGGCTGAAATCCAAGCTACCTTTCAGATTCAGAGCCCACTCAGAGAGCCATGGGTGAAGGCTACAAGGTCCCACGCCTCAGCATCTGTCCCTTACCTTCTCTTAGGCAGTCAGAACCAGGATGCCCATGTTGGAGAGGACCACCACGGCCACCACCTCCCCCTCCACAGTTAGGGGGGAGCATTCCTCGAGAAGGAACTCATTGATGGATTTCAAAGACAGGCTGGGCACACTAGATCCCAGCTGTAGTTAATCAGTGTCCACACAGCGCAGAGGTTGGGGGGAAAGAAGCAATGAGCACAAGGGCTTGTTCTCAGCCTTGCCTCTGTGAATCTCAGGGGACAGGTGGAGAGGAAAGGTGGACTTCCCCTGCCCGGCTGGCACATCCGACCTGCCTGGGCCTTTATTTTAACACTGGGAGGCCAAATGGGTGTTCCTGTGCACAAGCAGATCTTATTTCCTCGGCATAAGACTCCCATACACAACTGATCTAGCTTTGTTGGAGAGGGTTCTTGCGGAGAGGGCGGGGTTTGCAAGAGGGACAGAAAAGTTTTGCAAATCTCTATATATGAGGAGGAAGGTGAAGGAGGGGAGAGGAGGAAGAGGAAGAAGGTGGGGAGGGTACAGGTTTTGATTTCCAAAAAGGTTACCTGGAGGAAAGTACTGAGCAACCCACCCCACCCCCAACTGTGCTGGAGTGTGGAAAACAATGGTTAATTAAGCCCAGCCTTTGCTCCCTCTCCTTTCAAACAGTAGAAACTGCGGATGGCTGGGCTAGGTTATTGGCAATGTACCTCACTGGGCTGATACAATGTAATTTTGCCAAAAATAATTAATGCCTTCAAAACAGAGCTGTCTCCTCTGCTCCCCAGACAATTCCAGATTCCAAAACCCTGCACTGTGGACTCAAAAGAGAACAATGCTGCGCGAATTATTCCCAAAGGGGCTTTGAGTCACAGGCTAGCCATTGTTTGTCCACTTTGAACAGCTCAACTCTGTCAAACTCATCAAGGGAAACAGAGGTTCACCCCAAATCACACGTGTCACCCTCCTCCTTCCCATCGTGGCCTTCTGACTCAAGCAAAACATTCAGGATCAATCCCCACTCCGCTCCCCCTCCCCAACAACAGCCCGCATCACGGCGACCCGGTGCAGGGCTGCGTCCGCGTGCATTCATCATCCATGTGCTAATTAGAAGCCCTCACTTCTGTCCCTGGTTGGCTGAGCCGGCCCAGCGGGCTTTTCGCGCCGCGGTCGCTGGGGCTGGCCCACAATAGGGATGAGGAACACATGGTTGTGTCCCGTGAATCAGAGAGGCGCCCACTGCGGTGACCACCCACTCAGCGCCAGAGCCCGGCCAGCCGTCCGCGGCTCTGCACCCCTCCCGGCCAGGTCCTCGGGGTTATTTTTCAACACCTCCCCCTGCCCCCCCCGACCCCCTGCCCCCGCAGTCTCCGCAAGCAGGGCCTCCCGCCACCCCGCGCTGCGGAGCGCGCACGCTGCGGCGGCTGGGAGGGCTGCGCCCGCCCCGCTCACCCCCGCGTCCGTCCGGAGCTGGCGGCTGGCGGCTGGCGGCTCTCAGAGGCGCCCGGGCTCCCGGCTCGGCTCCCGCAGCGTCTGGGGCCCGGCCCCCTCCCGGAGCAGGTCCTGCGGCAGCAGCGGTCCGCACCCCAGCAGCCCGGCGGCACAGGCAGCAGCTCCCGCCGCACTGCCCCTCTTCATACTTCTCTGATGGCTCCTCTCGGTGCCGTTTGGGAAAACGATCTCTCCCCCTTGCCAGAAACAGATTGCCTACATCTCATCAGTCCGCACAGACCGAGCGGAAGTCAAATGCTTACTTTTTCTGGTGGACGGCAAACGCAATTGACACCGAGTTACCCTTCAAACGGGGAGAGATTGTATTACAAGCCCTTGGCAGCGGTTCGGAGGTTGGGGCCAAGCTCCAGCCCCCTCCGTGACCCCCAAACACTAACCTAAGAGGGAAAGGGCCTGGGGGTGGGGAGGGGATCATATTTAACTCCGGGGTTTTAACAGCGTCGATGGCTTTAGCACGATATTAAAATGGGGTGTTGGAAAAGTTGTGCTTTCCTGGCCAGGGATTTTGCAGACTCGGAAGCATGAGCTTTCCAGTAACTTCGGCCTCTCTTCGTTCCAAACTGAACAATTTGATTTCTTGCACGCCTCTCTAACGATGGGAGTGTAGAAGAGGCCGCACTTAGGGCTGTTTCCCGCTTTACCAAAGGAAATACAATTCCACCTTCTTGCTCTCCGCCTCAGCTCGGCATGATGGGGAATGTCACAGACAGTGTTCCCCAACTGTTGTTTATTAGCGCGTGTAGTCTGAGATGCAGAGCCTGGCTGTGTGTGAACTGGACAGATGTTCAAGTGTCTGCTTCCCCGCGAATGTACACTGAGTGGCCAGATTATTATGACCACCCCATCAGTACTTCATTGACACTTCCAAAAATACTGAATATTGAAAACTTCCTAAGCAAATACTCTCAAGGTTTTATTATTATTATTATTATTATTATTATTATCATTATTATTTGCATAACTAATTCACGTCATTGAACTGATGGGGTGGTCATAATAATCTGGCCACTCAGTGTATAGGTGACCTCTGACTGAGTGTCCTACTCGCCTCAGGTTACCACTTTCCATGGAGCGCAGGTGAAAAGTATTACACTTGGTTGTTGTTTTGTTTTCATGTTCATCCGTGCATCTCCATCCCCTGTATAAGATGGCATTGGCACAAGCACTCTGATTCTCTCAAGGATACCAGATTTTAAGTAGGTGGTAAGGTACTCCCACCCCCATTCACACCCCTACCCCTCAAATAGAAACTACCTGTAGATACACAATATCGAAGTGACCCGGATAATTTTAGATATCACTAAAGAATGAATGTTGCATTTATTACTGCTTTTATCTGGAAGTGGTTAATGGCTCTGAAACATCTAGACACCGCATGGGTTACTTGCTTATAGCAGCACAAATAACGAAGACGGGGACAAAACAGATTGAAAAGTTTGGTGGCACTACTGACCCCCCAAGCTTTTTACTTTAGTTCAAGGCGGTGTTGCAGCTGTCAGTTCCATATTCCTCCTTGGCTTCCCAGAGTCACCTCATTTTAAAGAGAAACAGCATATGTAAAGGCCTATATTACTGCTTGGATGTACATAAACAACAAATCATACAGAACAGGTTACAGATGAATTTGAGGAAATGATTCTGAATAATAAAAATGTTTCCAAAGTAACCAAATCTGATATTTCAAGAGCCCTAACAAAGTATTTTGAGTTTCTAAACTTATTCAATTTAAGTTAAAAAGTCAAACATCCTAAATTTTCATGATCAAACATCATCAGCCAATAAACATTATTTTAGCCAAAACCGGTTTGGCTCAGTGGATAGAGCGTCGGCCTGCGGACTGAAAGGTCTCAGGTTCGATTCCGGTCAAGGGCATGTACCTGGGTTGCGGGCACATCCCCAGTGGGAGATGTGCAGGAGGCAGCTGATCGATGTTCCTCTCTCATCGATGTTTCTAACTCTCTATCTCTCTCCCTTCCTCTCTGTAAAAAATCAATAAAATATATTAAAAAAAATAAAAAATAAACATTATTTTAGTATCTTTAGGGTATAAAATAAGAGTTCAAAAAAATCTAACACCTCGGATTTTGAAAATCTTATATCCTATACCAGTGGTCGGCAAACCATGGCTCGAGAGCCACATGTGGCTCTTTGGCCCCTTGAGTGTGTCTCTTCCACAAAATACCACGTGTGGGCACGCACGTACAGTGCGATTGAAACTTCGTGGCCCATGCGCAGAAGTCGGTTTTCGGCCTGGGTGAGTCTATTTTGAAGAAGTGGCGTTAGAAGAAGTGGGGGGTGTCAGTGAGTTGGGCGACGGGAGACAAGGAAGGCCGTGGGATAGGCAGCACTCAATTCATGCACGAGTTGAGTGAGCCAGTCAGTCAGCAGTCTCATGTGCAGTGGTTAGTGCTAGTCACGTCCGCAAATCCCACGCGGATGACAAAAGTACCTACTCGAAGCATAAAGTTACCTGTATTTTTCCAACCAGCTGCAAATCCTACAGGTATTTTTGTCATCAATTTAAGAATTGTAATTCTTTTGTGTTGGTGGCTTTATTATTATAAAATGAAACATTTTTTAGGTGCCCTGTTTGAGATGGCTACAAAGAAGAAGCAAAGAAAAACGGAAGACGAAAACCGTGAATGTAAAGTTGAATTTAAAGTTGAATGTACCTACCTATATAGTTTAAGTTTAAAAAATTTGGCTCTCAAAAGAAATTTCAATCGTTGTACTGTTGATATTTGGTTTTGTTGACTAATGAGTTTGCTGACCACTGTCCTATACCTTCCAGGTGCAAATATTCTTGTCATATTGTTCATTATTCTTGTCAAAGTGTATATCAATGTTTGTATTAATTCAGGAACAATGCCAAACCCAGTTTGAGAAAATAAGGAGGCTTGCAGAAGCACTGGGAGAACATCATTATTCAAATGACTCCCTCCAAAGCCCCTTCCTTCCAGGATTTTTTACTTTGAATTATGCATCCCATCAGATCCCTATCCTTTGAGCAAGAGCAGAAAGGAAAATGCTAGGAGAAATGTGCATTTTCTCCCTTAGCATCTGAGGGTTGTGCTGAATCTCTTTTGGTGGCAAAAGAGAAGTAATACAGAAGATTTCTAAAGAGGCATCAAAATTATGTTTTAATTTAATTTTCTTCAGAATTTGTAACAATTCCCATTTGATTTTGATTTTGTATTTTTCAAAATCAAATTTCTATTTATGTCTTCCAATCAGTCACGAATACATTTGTCAGATAATCTTTTTGTCCAAGAATGGTCTTGCTTTGGTCTCTCTCAACCTAAACATGCTCATCTTGGGAAACCCTGGTCCAACTTATCTTCCCTGATCTGACTTGAAGGTAATGGAAGCAAATGCCTCACCTATTGGGGTGAAAATTGTCTAAATACATTCCTGACATTTGACACCACAAAAAATAAAAGCCGAGCCAGATTTAAAGAAATATTTAGTCTAATTTTTCTTTTTATCACCTAAATATTAAAGTTTAAAAGAGGACTTTAATATTGAAAGTTTCTAGGTTACTCTGTGTTTTGGGGCATTCCACACCTTCAACATTGTCTCGAATATGAGCTGTGCCTTTTCTCTCAATATATATATATATATATATATATATCTTTAATATAATAAAAGGCTAATATGCAAATTGTCCCCTCTACCAGGAGTTCGACCAGGAGTTCGACCAGGGGGGCGGGGCTGGCCGGCCCTTACTTTGCCTTGTGGAATCTGGCAATAAAATAAAGTCATGGCTTGTAGTCCGTGGCACTGTCGCTAGCTCTTCATCAGAGAGGACAGCGTCCCACCCAGACCCAGCTTTTTCTCTTGTCTGTCTTTTCTCCATCCTTCACCACCCCCTCTCAGGGTCACTGAACCTGGCTGAGCTGGCGTGGCACATAAGGCACCCTGGGGCTGAGTATGCCATGGCCGTACCGGCTCGCCACAAATAGACACTGGGTTAAAGTAAAATAAATTTCCAAAGGTGACCAAGGCATTCTTATATTCCTAAATAGCTTCAAAAGGGCTATTAAATGAGCAAGTGTTAGAAGCCAGTGAGAAATATGATATGGAAAGCAGTATAAAAACCTGCAGTGGTGCCAGAGAAATATAAGAAGCAATGTAATAAATGAAAACACTTATTTCCTTTTTATTGAAATATTTTATCAGTAATGAAAACTATGTTTATCTTTTCCTACCTACCATCTTGGACCATAATATAGGCCTTGAATTGATATATATATTGAAATATTTTTTTAAATGTCAGACAAAAAGGACTTATAAGTCCTAGTATGGTAATTGCAAATAACATTAGCGGTAAAAAGTAAGTGTTAATACTTCTCATCACCATTCATATATAACACTACAAAGAATGAATCAAATGACAGAAATTTCATGTGAGAGGTCAAGGTTTACTCTCATTTGGATATGCAACGTAAAAACTCAATTTTTACTCTCAAAGGAAAAGTTTAAAGTTTAAAAGTAGAACATAACACTAGTATAGGTATCCATTCCCTATTGTGCGGCTCATATTTTTCGCAAAATGTGTGTTGTATATGAGCATATGCCTTCTAATTTTTACACAGAAGGTAGATAAAAAGCATTACATGAAATATGCCATTTATCTCACCTAGTTTTAAATATCCTTTGCAATATATACTGTTGTGTGATTTTCCATGTCTAAGTGAAGTTAGGTTTTTGTTAAATATTTGTGTGGTTTGTTTCTAAATCTTTTATAAATGTATGTGCCATTCTAATTGGAAGAAGTTCAAATTTAATATGAATGTTTAATATAAAATATTTTATTTCAATAACCCTGCATTTCTTTTGAACCACTGTTTTCTCTAGTATCTAGAATATCATTGGACATCTAGTAAGCACTCAATAAATAACTGTTGAATGAATGAATATTATAGAAGAATCCAATCTCTTGGGAAGCTTACTACTAATTGGTTATATTTTTATATATTATTTTTAATTTAGTAGTTTGGACCTCAGAATAGGAAAATAATATTAAAATAACATTATAAATAATGGTTTAATTTCCAGGCTAGAATCATTTCTTCTAGTAAAATGTAACTAGAATTCAGTAAAACAGATGCTTGCCTGTGAACCAGGCTTTTACAAATGAGGTCAGTCTGTGTCACTAGTCACTTCATTAAAAACCAAGGTTGATTTGGACTCAAGGTTTA